TATTGGAAATGTACATCTGTTAGAACAAGGCAATGGCAAAAGGGAGCAGTTTGGTTTGCTGAAATGCCAGAGCCAGAAGTTGTACTCTCCAGTAATGGGACTCATTGCACTGTAGAAACCAGTCACCTCATCCACCTCAGCAGAGATGATCTGTAACACTTCTGGCATTACATGCACGTTTCAAACCCACAGGAGAAGCAGAAAACATGAGTTTTTACCTTGTGGGGAATCTCCACACACGTAAAGCAGCAGCTTTTTTTTTTTTTTTTTTTTTCTGTGGAAGAAATCAAGAAAGTAACCTATCCAACAGGAAACTGAAATTTAATTTTAAAATTATCAATACAAGGGTTCTGAAGCAAGTGAACTGGCAAGAAATTATATTTTTCTGGGGAACTTTGCCCAGCATCCATTGAATAGTAGACAAACATGATGCATTCATGCAAGAGCTGTCATTGTGCTATACTGAATCAGTGTTTCTGCCTGGAAAACCCTCAGACTCTGACTGCTCACTTCTTCCTCTCCCTTCTTCACATTCTTCACTTATTTCTTAGTATCCGAGTAACTTTGCATCCCCAGCATGAACCTCAAAGGGTGCACAAAAGAAGAAGGGTGCACAAGACCAGATGCACAAAATGCTGCATGGAGGCTGAGGTTTCTTGCAGACAGTATTTCTAACCAAGCCGTCCCATGGGGTAAGCTCCCAGTTGCCCAACTGGGACACAATAAAAAAAGTCATTGTTCTCCTGTCTACCATTAAGTTCGGAGAGAGATGTCACTGCCAGGCTAACAAGCATTGAATACTTTCTCTCTTGTAACCGGGACCGTGAGACCTGACAGCTGTTCTGCCATAACACTCACATCTATTCAGAGACCAAAATCGGAAAAGCTGCTCTGAGGATCCCCATAAGGGCGCAATTCTAAAGGCGGCTAAATGCTGCGATTTCTGGCACTCAACTACTCGTCCAGGGCCCTGCTCAGTAAAGTATTTCTCACTGAATTAAGAGGAATTTAAGTATGTGCTTATGCATTTGGATGAACAGAGAAAGCCTGTTGAAACAAAGAACTACTGAGAACAGAGGAGAAGCCCTTAAAAATAATCTTGGTTTGTTTTTTTTTTTTTTTCCCCCTAAAAGTATCTGTTACTTATTCCCAAGTCCTTATCTTGTTTATAACAAAGAATGAACAAAATTCCTTTCCCAAGGCTGGACAGTCCTGGAGCATATCCGCACCAAACAGGGACAAAAATAAGCTTGATTTTAGCCATGTTAAATAATCAAATGCTTATTAGTCTCTTGACTTTTTTCTCCTGCTCTTTTGTGTTTTTTATTCCTCTATACACAGTAAACCTAAGGTTTTATGGCCTTATCCAAAGTCTGCTGGATTTGGTGGAACTCCTTCTGTTGGCTTGAATGGGCTTTGGAGCAGAGCTGTAGGCAGAATATGACAATATCTTTATACAGGTTTCTCATCCACTGTCTAGAGAAAGGAATATTAATTATTGAAACACTGGTCCAGCACACAGCCCCCAAGAACCATCAATATTCACTCCACTTTGTTACTTAATTGAAAATTACCCTGTTTTCTCTCTGAACTTTCTTTAGTAACATAAAATCTGTAGACACTGAATAGGTTTCCATTTTCTAGCTCATTTTATATACGAACTTCAAACCATAATTGCTTCTGAAGCACATCATACACAAAAGTAAGCCTACAATCGTTTCCAACCATTATAATAAACCGTCTTTAAAATGACCGTGCCCCAAATCAGAAGCCCCACATGGCTGCAATAAGGATGTTTCCTGCTGGTGATTCTGTCACCGGGCAAGGCACAGCCGGACAAGCTGGGGGTGGCGAGGGCTGCACAGTGGCACAGCGAGAGGCAGCACCAAGCACTGCCAGGGTAGTGCCCTGGCCTCATCCCCGGTAAATCCAGCTGAGTAGGACCACGGCTTTGGTGAGACAGAGGAACACAAAATGCCCTTACGCCCTTCTCGTTCAGCTAATGAAGTTCACATGAATGAGCCAGAACATTTTGCCACCATGGCCCTGATCCAGCTGTCACTGCCACCACAAGGGACCCCGCTGGCGGGTTGCTACGGAGGTGATTTTCACAGTGGGATAAGCTCCCAGTCTCTGTGCCACCGAAGTCCCACCGATGGATGCACTCCACTGGTTTGAGAGTATTTTTCCAAACACTTAAGCGCTACTTACAGAAACACTTGGCCTCTAGGCATGTCATACCAGTATTACACAAAACTGAGTCAACGAGAAGCCTCCTGAGCTCAGGTCCCCATCCCCATCCCGAAAGCAGAGGGGTACAGGCGATTCCGATTCATGTATATATTGTCGTAGTACTCAATACACACTTTGAAATCTTAAAGCAGATTGTGACTTGTCATCTATAACTAAAAGATATCGATACACAGACACACAATGTGCTTTTGCAAAATGACAGAAAAACTGTTCTTTTCATGTTACCTCAACGCAAACATGATTGCATTTTGCTTTTGAATAGCTACTGCTCTAAGAGACATTATCATCAGGTAAAGGAATTCGCTACCCATATTTAGTCATTGTAAATAAAACCAGCAGACCAACCTGCATATGTTTGTTTTTTCTTTTTTTGGAGTTTGCATGCTTAATACAGAACTAGTAGGTTTAAAATCTCACTGAGCATTCTGTGTGAATTAACCAGATTCTAGAGTAACGTGGAAAGGAAAATAATGAAAAGTACAGCTTTTCATTTAAACATATGCAGCTCTCTTCATGCAGGGTTTTCTTTTAGTTTTTTTTTTCCTTTGTTTAAATTACACTTTGCATTAAAGAACATAGCCAGTGTAAACACAGTCTGTAACACTTATAAAACAGTGCAAATTTTGTAAATTTCTGGGAGGAGGTTGAAATACATATATTTATAATTGAGTTAAAATCACTTTCTTTCTCAGTAGAAAAATACGTATATTAAACACCTATATGTTCGGAACTTAACTTCACAAAAGAGCAAGTTATAGTCCTATACTGTGTAATAAATTAATATCTTTTCTAGATTTCCATTTTCAGTTTTAGTGTCAAATGCATAATAACGCTAGAAAAAACAAGAGAAACATGTATTATTTAGAACCTAATGAAAATCTTACAGACAATAACTGGTGTAAGAGGGCACAGAATAAAGAACTGGGGAAAGAAGCAATGGAAAAATACCGACCTCTATGAATTATTGCACATTTGAGATCATTCTCATGGCCTTTGGGCCAATTCTGGATACTTTTAAGTCTTAGGTCAGTGTTTGTTTCCATTTGACTGTAGGGTACAATTTAGGAACCACTGCAAAATGTCAAGGATTTACTGAATTTGTTTGCTGATGAAACCACAAGCAGCTGAGTGCAGAGTGCTAACTTTTATTCATGCAATCAAAGAGAACAAGGCTAAAAACATACTGAAATACAGGCAAGGTTGCCTGCCCTAAAAATATTTTTGGGAACTTGCTGCAGCAGATCTTATTGAGACAAAACTCCCACGTCTACTGTGTTTTCATTAAAGCCATGCCAAAGACTGCAAAACTGGCTTCTGCCTTCGTTATTTAGAGCTTTTTCCTTGTATACTGTTGTCTCCATGGTCTGACTCTGCAACTCTTAATCAACTGAGTCTGGAAATCTCCATGAAACATACTGGTCCAAAGAAAACTCAACTCGCTGAGTAGTAATGCCTGATGCTGAGTACCTGTATAACACTTCTCATCCACAAGCAGCAAGAATGCTTTCCATGAAAGATAAATGACTATCTTATTTGACCGATGGGATCACTCTCATAAGTAAGAAATGCAAGACCTTACCAGCTGCTTAAAAATATCACTTTTCACTAGTTGCACAGAAAGCAGAAGTATTCCTGCTTCAGCCATATTTAAAAGGTACATAAATTCACAGGTAGATAAACAGAGAGAGAACTGTCTCAGGTGATTATCACTGCAATTGAAGTCAGACTACTAGTAAACCTGAATAATTTAGCACTTGATCTCTGCATATTGCTGTAGTAATTCTTTTCTATTGCTGATGTTCTCATAAAAAGGTTAATTTCAAATTGTAACTACTGATTTTGGAAAAAAAAATCCTATGTAAGATTACATTGCCTTCACTACAAATCTTGAAAGAGCTCAAGAGATCTTAAGAAATTTCAAATTAATGAATTAACTGACAGACAGATAAATTTATACGTAAACTGTTTAAAAAAAGTCATTAAAAATCTGCAAAAATTGTGAAATAATATATAATTGACAGAAAAATTGTTTAAAATTCTCCTAAACATCTTCCAATATTCTAGTAAGTTAATAAAACCACATTGCTAACCATTGACTATGAATACAACATGCCTCAATAATAAAATGAAGAGATGCTGATGTGAGCAGGTGATTTATTCTGCAGCAACTGTTACTATGCACTTTATTGATAAAGCTTCATCTGCATTGTTTCAGCTGGTCATCTTCTAAAATGTATTTGCAAGACAACGTTACCGGGAAGGCTTCCTCCTCCTTCCTTGTGAGAATGATTCACCCCTTGTGGTCTGTGCAGGAGATAATAATTTTCATAGCATGATTAGAATTTCAAACTGTACTGAAGTCTGTATGAAAAACCCAACAACTTCCATGTCTTTCAAATACTACTACTTAAATATGTGTGGATGTTGAAGATCATGTACAGTGACCTTTTATCCATCCCAGATTGTAAACCTGCTGTAAAATGATGGGATGTGTTTTTTCTATCTCCCCTCCTTCTTAAAGAAGCAATAAAACTGTACATTAAAAGACAGGAAGGACATTACTGAGTTACAAAAGAATGCCCACTTTGTCAATAATTTGTAAATGTAAACAAAAAAGTTCAAGTAGAAAAGCAAACAAGTGTGCCGCTGCTTCGAATAGGTCTTCTCACCCCATGGGGTTAGGGCAAAGTTCTTTAAAAACGTGTCTTCATGGCAGTCATGAAGCATCTCAAGAGTCCTGGTCTTCACTACCAAATATCACTGGTGAAGCTCAGCTCCTTTGCTGATAAAGGTAGCAATGGGTTATTCCTGTGAAACTCTTGGGGATCCTTCATGGTATTGTTAAGAGGTAGCTGTCCATTTAGTAGTGTCAAAGGTATGTTACAGTATGTGTGATGGTTGCTTATGGAAGCTATTGGCAATGTTGCTGCTGACACATCATATTCGTATCCTCTGCAATAATGTCTCATCTGCACAGAATCTGCTTGATGGTAATCAGTTAAATCAGCCCGCGATTCTACCAACGTGGCAGAAGTGCCTGTGACGGCAAGAGAGGGTACAGTCTGGAGGTCTCCAAAAAGGCCCTGCTCTGCAGAATCCAGGACCTGATGCCGAGACATCACCTCCTTTTTCTTCCCTGGCATTTCAAAGACTAGGCGCTTCCAAAACTTAGAATTCAGTTTGCTGCTTTTTGGTCCTTTCCACTTGACCACTGAGAGAAGTTTGATGGTGTGCTTTAAAGATTCCACTTCGTGATAATTCACTTTCCCTTTTAATTCAGTACACTCAATCAAAATAACTTTGATTTCTCCACTGACTAGCATGTTATGGAGTCTGTTTTCCATCTCAAAAATACTCCATCCTCTCCTGAGAACATAGTCTGGAGTTAACACGATAATGAGTCTTCTGCTTTGTTCAACACATCTTGTGAGATCTTCAATGTAGGCTACAAATTATAGAAAGAGAGAAAGAGTAAAGAATAAAGAAGTCTATTGTATCAAAACATCAGGCTTGCAATCAAGTATAACAAAATCCTACAGCTTACTGATCCACACCATTTAAGACAGGGGCATTTCACAACATACTCCAACAAAAATAGGATTGTGTATCACAATGTATTTCTATTTATGGACTACATATAGAAAATGCCTTAATAACACCGTCCATCCTTTACTGGTTTTTCCCTGTTCATCTCAACAGAATGACATTTACATAATATCCTCACTGTGTAGATGCATTAGTGACTAAAAATACACAGTTCACTTACTGAAAAAATATGGGTCAAGATCAATATAATGTTTGTGTAAATTTTAACATTGACACTGGTTATTATTAACATCGCATTGAGGGAAGCACACTTTGGGAAGCAGTTCTTGTGTTTCAGACGTAAGGACATGAGGGTGCTGCAGGGTGTATGAACTGTAACTTGCAAGAGCTCAAAAAGAAATCAACCCTCATCACATGCAGAACTTGTGCTACTGCATAGAAGCATCACGGTACCTCTTTCTTCTTTAGGTTTTGACCACAAAAGCACAATAACATTCTTTGTGGCCCAATGCTCTGTTTTAACATCACAAACCTGTGCTTCTATGTGTCCCAAGGTATTAACAGAAACTTCACAAGTGACAGGAACAAATGGAAAATTTAAACATGTTGGAGGTGTTTATTTGTTGAGACATCAGTGACAGAAAATAGCATTGTTCTTTTATTCATGCATGCCAAGTAGTTGCAAACAATCAGTGTAAGCAGAAATGCCAGCCCCATCATTAGCTCCATGATGTCAGCTTATTGAACTACAAAGTATTTTTGAAGTTGGACTTGGATCCCTGAGTTTCACTTGTCCCAGGGATGGTAAAGGGGAAGGGAAGGGAAGCCAATTACACTGGTCTGACATGGAACAGGATGGGAAAGAGATCTACTTACAGACCTGATCCAAAACCCATTCAAATGAACAGACTTCAAGAAATTTCAATGAGTTTTCGGTCAAGACCAGAAAAATGAAATCACTTGAAAAAAAACCCACTAAGGTCAGAAAAGTGTTCATTGGTTGCAGAGCATTGTGATTGTGAGCTTAGAGACAGGGTATAATTTTATTTGTAAACTACATGAACCTTTTGACCATGCTACTCAGAATGTGCCACCTGACAACAGAGGAGAAGCATGTGTTATAAATGAAGACTTGGACACAAGAGCTGCACAGAACAGATCTTTACTCAGCACAGGGCAGGGCCTCTCTTACACACACTGCCCTCTAGCAGGAACAACGATTACAAAGAACATCATTAATCAACATCTGTTACTGCAAGACTCATTTTTATAGTCCCAAGCACTGTACCACAGCATGCTTATTCACACCACTTCCAGTAAAGTAAATAGCTACAAAATAGGCCAACAGGAACATTCTAAAATAGCTTATTTTCATGAGACTGAAGGCATAGTTAGCATCAAATCTGCCTTTACCAATGTTTTACTTCACCACTTAGCAGCAAGAAGAATTTCTTTCACAAAAGGAAAAAAGAGGCAATTGCAAACATCCCACAGACACACAAAAATTTAAGACATACACGTACATTACAAATGTCTATGCAACAATCCTGACTTTTAGTTAATGTTTTATGACTCTTTAATCATGCAGCATTTACAGTTTGTTTTTTTTCTCCTTAAAATATTTTATGAGGAAAACGCCCACATTGGTCTGTGTAAAATTGTTACTCGTTAATGAAAAAAATTCAACATTAAAATCCATGGGAGAGGCAGCGGAGAGGGGAGAGAATCAGCAACAATGAGAAAATGATAAGCAGAACTGGTGAAACAAAACTTAAGGAAAGGTAGAAATGTTCAATACAATGGAAAGAGATTATCCCAATGTATCAACAGCTCAGACTCTTCATTTTCTTCCTTTCTTTCTGCTCCCAAAAAGAAAGAATTTAGGTGGGAAGCTTCATCATTAGAGGTTGAATCTGCAAGATACAGTAAAACAACAAACTATCATGCATCTTTCCTGAGACATATTCATCCCTCCTTCAAACAACTCAGAACACGGCTACGTACAAGACAATTCCCTGCAGGACACAATACCAGACAGTACCACATATCCAGGTTAGTGCTAAGCACAGCCATACATATCCTATAGGCATCCAATTAAAAAACCCAAACAAACCAACAAAACAAACAAAAAAATTGCTCCACTTTCATCTCTTCAAATATCCAGCGGCAATAATTTCAATAGCAGCAAATAATCCATTATACCATCTCAATCAAAAACTCACCAGACTTTGCTTTAGTCAAACAGGGACTGAGGTGGGAAGAAGACAGGAAAAATTCCCTGTTTTCTCAGATGGATACTTCTCCCCTCTGTGCCTCTCCCATACTTCGGCATGCCCACCTTACTTACTGGATATTGCAATAAGTAAGAGCGCTTTCTATAGACGGCTAAACAGACACCTTCACAAACGACCACTAGGTGCTCCTTCAGCTCCAAGTTTGCAGCTGGTTCACTGATAGACATGGCAAATGTACAGGGGTTCTGTTGGTGCACTGAGGATAAAATACACTGTATTATAGGAAACTGGAAACCCAAATGAAAAGGCAAACACATTTTCCAGACATCTGGTCCGGAAGTACTTAGTACTCCCAATAACTTCAGCTTGGGACTACTACTAGAGTTAGGTGACAACTTCCCTGGAGCACATGGTTCCACTGGGTGCACTCTACAATATGTCCAATGTGCACAACTTAAATCATATGGGGGGACATATTCCAGTCTGTGGAAATTCAAGTTTTATTTTTTCCAGTGGTAGCAGACTGACAGCGTAAACCCGTGAGCTGCTAAATCACCCACCCTCAGAATTTCACTTCAGAATTTGAGACTGCCCAAAATACTGCAGGTTGAGTTGTCTGTCTTAAGTGTTCGGTCCATTAGAAGGTATTAAATCCAAGCAATCTGTATTGCAATGTGGGATGGAGAAAGGGTGGTTTTCACCTTTCCCGTGAACTAAGAAGTAATTGTCAGGCACTGGCTCTGTTTCACGTTCAAGGAAAAAATTGAGCACGGATTTCAGGAATGACATCACCAATTGTAAGATTCCAGACCAACATATTTCCATCAGATAAATATCATTTTGCTGAAACTTCACTTTTGCTGCAGGAGGTGTCAACTTCAATGACATTTCATTGTGAGGGGAGAAAAAAAATTGTCTTGACAAAATCAGTACGGAATTATTTGTTTTTAATTCCCAAACATTGTATTTTATCATAAACTAGAAAGTAAAAATAAAATTTCAGCATTAGAGTTAACCCACTTGATTTTATTGAAAAAGAACATGTCAAATTTTGACCCTTTTTTCCTCCCTTGAAACACCATTTTGCAATATGGCTCAAAAACTCTTTTCAAAATGTTAGCACTTCCTATAGATCAAAAAATTTAGAATTATCAGTAGCTCTATCAGTAACTTACTTGCATCATGTCCAATGCAATGCCCCAAAAGGTATGGACAGCAAAAACTTTTAGACCCATAAACAAATGCAGTTTTTGCATGGTTGCCCTTCAGTAATGAAGACAGATCAATCTGACAGCAAATATGTGCTCACCAAACACTGTCAATGTGTAACAATGCTGAACTGTAGTTTGAAGCACCGAAGAAGAGAAATCCAAGACATGCATCCAATTTGCAATTAAATCATGCATAACTGCCTACTGAATCTTGAAGGAGCTATACTAACCACAGGCTGGAAGGAAACCCAGACAACGTACTACGCAAGCAGACTAAGAGCAAGGAAGTTAACAAAGAGCACGGACACAGAGTTGCTTACACAAAGAAATTACTGACTAACCACATTCAGATGATTTGCAGAAGCAGTTGAGGGAGAGGAAAAGAACACCAGAAATCATATAAAGTCTTACGGATATTTTGGGGAAGCATGATCTGCAGAACCACAAGAACCAAAGAGTATCTACCATCGAGCCCATACTGGCTGCTTCCTGGCACTCTGAAAATAGCCAGCCTTTCTGCATTGGGCAACGTGACTATCACTTGAGAAAGTTATTTATAGAAGAATAGTTCAGTACTGCTTTCCTAACGGTATAGTTCCCAAACCTTAACTCTGATTACTTTATTATAACAAAAATGATTGCATGTCTTGCTTTTCCTGGTTATTAAATCTCTGTTGCTTCTGTTAGCTCAGACCAGAACAGTGATGCAGTTGGGACTGCTGAAACACAGAGCGGAGCGAGGGCCCCTCCCCAAAGAGAGGCCAATCCCAGAATAAGCTAAGGGACAGCTGATGAGTTCAACATAAAGCAGCAAGTAATGCAGATCAGCCTGACACACAGCCCTCGCAGCGTACCACTCCCTTGGCCATTGTCAGACTTTCTGTATTTGGCATGGCAAAGCAAGGAGGAATTAAGGAGAAGGAAAGGATGGTGGCTCTGGGGATGTGCCCTTGCAGACTGAAGTGTTTGAAGTGGATGATTTTGGTGAAATTGTTTTGGCGATAAATGTTGGAACCAAAATTCTGGATATTTAGAATCAAAGATCCATGGACTCATACAGGTTAGAAAAGGGCTCTGGAGGTCTCCAGGTCAACACTCTGCCCAAAGCAGGACCAGCTAAGATTGCTCGGGGCATTGTCCAGTACAGTTCTGTAGACCTCCAAGCTTGGAGGTTTCTTCTCAGTGTCTCTGGATTCTGTTCCAGTGCCTGACCACCCTCATGGTAAGGAAAATTTTCCAAATGTTTAAATAGAATTTTCAGTGTTCCAACTTACACCTGTGGCCTCTTGTTCAACAACTGTGCACCCTGGAGAAGAGTCTGTCTCCATCTTTGCGCTTTCCACTGGAGAGACAACCATAATATTCTTCCTTGGCCTTGTCTTTGTTGGCCTTGTCTTCAAGAAACACAGTTCTTTTGGGCTTTCCTCTTGTACTGCATGCTCCAGCTCCCTAACCACCTTAGAGGCCTTCAGTGGACTGTTACAGGGTAGCCAGCCTTTCTGGCTTTTGTTCATATTTCTTCCACTTTCAACTATCGTTCCTCTGTGTCCCTGCTACCCCCGCCCATGCCTGGCATTAAGTGTGAAATTCATAGAGAGTAGACAACCAGGGACTTCTGAAAAGAGTGTGTGGAGCTGGGTACTCCATTCCCATTCCACATAAATGGTGTCCCATAGCTAATTAAGGCTCCTTGGAAACTCCACACACACAGTCCAACTGGGTTTTCTTCATCCAGGAACCCAGGAAGCTGGAATTCACCAGGCAAAAACCACACAGATGGGCAGACAAAACTACAAAGTGCCAGAACTGCAATATTGACTGTTGGGTGCTTCCTATCGCGTGCCTTAGGTGCTCTCCTGTTGTGCTGACAAGCTCTCACTTTTCAGGTAAAAGCAAAGATTTTTATTCCATCACCGTTATTCTTTTCAGTGCCTGATCTCTTTACCCTGGGCTGAGCTGGAGTGAATTGCTGATGTTTTTTCAATCCTGACAAGATCAAACGCACATATGCTTAGAGAGCAACTAGATGATGCTCTAATAGATTTGTATTGCTGGTATTAAAAACCCAACTTGACAGTTTCAACCTCTTCACTTTCAGGGTTTAAAATAATTTGCAGAAACCATGTGAGAAAAATATCTTCCTCCGATATAGTCCCAATTTTAGAAAAGTCAAGTGCAAATAGGGCTTTCTCTCTGTAGACACATCATCCTTAGTAACACAGAAAATGGCTCAGGTAAAAACATAATTATTCCTGCTCTTCCCTCCACAACCCCCCCCGCCCCCCAAGTATTCAGTCTCCTCAGATCTCCTGATACTGAATTTAAAAGCTCACAGGGCTTGAGAGTGCTTGCTATGGGAAAGGGTTCGTTAAAAAAGCCCCGAACACTAATAGGGTGGAAAAAATGGTAACTGCTAAAAAACTTTAGTAACAACCGCAACTGTACCTTAGGGATCAGAGTCTCCTTATACAGGCTAACATGTTCAATTATGCCTTAGTTACCAAGGCAGAAAGGTATATGTGCTGTCAGCTTTGATAGAATGAAGAACACTCACTCTGTTAAGACCAAAGAATATTCTTAAAGAATAGCTGCTATCGTACTTTCTATAACATGCAACTCAAATCCCGGGTTACAAACTTGGTCTTGCTGCTTGCACAGCACACTGGCATGTCTCCCCGCCATGTCACCCCTCTCATCTTCCAGCCTGCATGGCCACATGAGCTTCTGCATGAGCAAGAAGCAGCGGCTGCTGGAGCCCTGTTTCTGCCTCTCAAGTTTGGGGAGCCGGGTCCATCTGTGCTGCTCTCAGGCAGCTTCAAGAATCACCACAAAGGTCCTTGGTGGGCACCACCAAGGCCCTCAGCATCCTTCATGGTGATTCTCCCACTAGGACAAAATGCTCCATTGAGATAACATTTTTACCCCAGCAGGGCACAGAAACCAACACCTACTGCAAAACACAACTCAGCCCCACCTGACCTGAACTCTGCTTTCCAACGGTGAAGTTGTGGCCTCAGTCCCCACAGCCATCACCTCAGTCCTCCCAGGGAGAGCAGCAGTTGCTCCCTGGGCATCCCTGAAACAAACGGTCCTCAGCGCAGAGCTGAAATGCAAAGCTCGGATATGCAGTGCAGAGGAGCTTGCTGCTGGGTGCGCACGTCCCAGCTAAGTCACATCTGGCTGTTATCTCTCACTCGGCTGCACAGGGACATGCAGAGCCTATCATAGCTTTTCCCCAGAGGTTAGAGATGAACTGTCTGGACAAAAACAAAATCAAACTTGTCTCTGAATTTTTCTGAAGTCAGCTTTTCAGTTTGTTCAGAGAAGTGTGCAAGAAACTTAATGAAATACTATTTAACAAATCTATTTTTCGCTTGCTCTCAAATACAAGTAGCAGCTGTATGCATTGCTTCATGCCAGGAAGCAAACGCAATAATGCACACCCTCCTGTGGCAGCACCTTAAAATTGCACAGATTATATGAAACAACCAGCCCTACAAAACACACCTTATTTGCTGTACTAGTGGAATGGTACACATTTAAGTACACAAGATATAGAAGGAAACACATCAGAATGGAGAGTGGGAAAGCACTGCGTTACACTGAAAGTCATTTACACCAGAAGACAAGGAAATGAAGTACGTATGACAAGAGATATTACCTAAAATAAAAAAGATAACTGTGATCAAACCCCCATTTTTCTATAGAAATCTACCCTGAAGACATATCTATTTTGTCATATCTGCCACTTTTGGAGACAGTCACTCTTACGTTTACCTCTGAAGTTTCTAGCACGTCCATACCACGTCACACTGCCTGCTCTCTTCACTAAGCACTGCAAGTCCTTGAAAGACTGGTGAGCATTAGGCAGAACACAGCCATGTTCCACTTTTCCCGCGCACATAGGGAGCTTACAAATACAGGAGTCTGAGTCTTCCCTCCTCCCCATCACTTCTCCCTCCCTCTTGGCCCCTCAAAATAAAGTGCTTTCCTCCATATCTTTTTCAAAGCTAAAGCATGCAAATCACACTCATTTCAGTTCCACATTTTATTCTGCATTGTCATTATGTCTGATTAAGCGTTCTTGAAGCTCCATGTGTTAGAATCAGGCCCTTTCATAATACTGAAGAAGTGAGTTTGAGAGGAAAAAAGAGGTATTAAATCTGTGAATGTTCATAAATGAGAACTGACATTTTCAGGTACCCTACATTTTCAGGAGAGGTTTAATGAATACCCAAAGTGATGACAAGTATTTGCTGAGTGTCTGACTGACAAAAATAGACAAAAATAAAATATCATGCTGGCTGGTACAGCGATTGGAAAGAAGAATCTCATTTCATATTAATCTGTGCCTCAGTATAGTTATCATTGAGGGGCTAACTTTAAACTCTTTAATTCACTTGTATAATTGCTATGTATAACTGCTATATTGTTGGATATGAAACAACTATTTACAACAGTTCTGTGATTTTTAACACAAAACCATGTATTTTATCTTAATAATATCTATAAATTCAGTACTACTTCCTTGTACAGTCAGAAACAAGAAGGCTACGAGCCAAGTCCCCTTTCTGGAATATGTCAGTAAGGGAGTAAAATTCACACCTTGCATGGGTAGGGTAAAAGGAATAGGGGAAGCAGCTCTAATCTAGGAGCTGCAAATGCACATGAGAAATTCAAGCCACTACATGGGACTTTGCCTGATCTCTGACTAGGCTCTGACTCCTCTTTCCCAACAGTACAGGATTCAGAGCTCTGTTTCCAGCTCCCTCAAATGTCAGAGAAGAAGTAGGCTCCAGCTTCTAGGGCAGGCACTGGGTTTTGGCAGCAGCAAGGCAGCAGTTTCAAGTCTTTTGGCAGGCAGGTTGCTAATGCAGCCATGTTCTAGCTGTTTCATGTTTGGGGACATCTGCTCCAGCACAGCCATTGCTTTGTTTTCTTATTCAAATTTCCTATACAGTAGCATATAGAGAGAGAAGCTCATATTGTCTTCTTATGTTTTTCATGGAAGTGATTTGCAGACAGAATTTGTAAAAGCTTATTTTTCACAAGGGTACCATTTCAAATAAATGTGATATTAAAGCAAACATACTGTGCATTCAAAATTCATCAACACAATGCATATGATTCATGGTCTTTTTTGACTTGTCCAAAAATGAATCTAGAAGAAGAGATGCCATAACTACAGCTAGGAAGGCATTAACTGTTGGTACAGACATCCAAAGGTGCTGCTGAAGCCTCAGACATGGCAGTAAAATGATTTGAAACGGACAACTGTATTTCACCGTCAGCATGGAAAACTGCATCGGATCACTGGGCTGTACATAGTCATCTGAAGACTTAGTATTACTTACACAATACCAATTGTTTGCACAATACCAACACTGCTCAAAAATGTAACATTTGGTCAAAACTCTAATGAAAAAATTGCACCTATACCATTAACTGGGAACCTACTGTAGGAATTTATGAGACTTCAAAGTTAGGAAAAAAACCAAAAGACAATGGGAAAGATGACTTTTACTTGTAAAGCTGCTGTAGACAAACAAATAAGTACTGGAAAAAAAATAATAATCCCATTTTCAATGGTAAAATAGAGACTAGAAAATCTTTTTTGGAAGTTTCCTGCTTAGCTACCTGTGTCTGATGTAGAGATTTTGGACTATAGTATTGCTTGCAGTGCTGCAGCCTTCCCTGCTCCCGCCTTCACTACAATCAACAGCAGTTCCCTCTGATTTCAGTGGTGCAGGAACAAGCTCTAACCTGGAGCTCAAATTTGCAGTACTGAGGAAACTTTTCAAATCCTCACAACCAGTTCACAAATAGAGGTTTCCCACATCTAGTACTTATCACACAGTCCGGGCCTTCATGACACATCAGAGAGAATTAAAACCGAAAGGTCAGAAATACTTACTTCCACTAGGGATCAGGTCCCTATCCGGAATGAAGAGCTTATACCCATAGTGCTTTTCTAGAACATCCGGCAGAATTTCAAGTGCAAACTGCTCCTCTTCATTATTATCACAGTCTAACGCATCAGGATCCACTTTGGTGTATGAAAGATACGCATCATATTCCTTGTTGTCTGTAAGAAAACAAATTCATGTTCAGCCAGCTGTTTGCAAGAGCACTATAAAGAATACAGGAAAGTACTAGGAAATCATATTATTTCTTGAAATGATTAAGAATTTCCCAACAAAACTGGGACTTGTCACAGGAAGATAGAATCCGGCTTCCACAGAGAAATCTTTCAGATCCAGACAAACAATACCCTTTCAGTTTTCTTCTGCACATTGAGCTAGTTACTGACTCTGCTTCATGTGGTCAGTGTACACATTTCATATCTGAAAAGATCATGGGCAAAATTTTGATACCAATACTAAATCTAGAACTTTTTATTTTAATCCTTTACATATTGCTAATGGCAATCTTTCAACCACTATGCCTCAAGAGTGTTATGATTATGTGAAAATTTTGAGCTTGGAAAAGTTTTTGAGCCTGGAAAGTTTGGAAAGTTTTGAGCAAGGAAAACTTCCTTGCAGAAGCAATTGTGAGAAAATACATGATTTAACTCAAATGAATACCAATTATGCAAAAAACAATGACAAACAGTCCAAAGCAATTCTTCAGAAAATCTTGTAGCTTTCAAAACCGGTATCATAATTTTAGAGGTCACTTAATCCCAGACATTTTAAATCCTTCGGGCTCACAGTATGAGAGAGAGAAATACCTCCAGGAGCAAACAGGGCGCAGGGGAAGACTTGCCCCTCCATTCTGCCTGCAGCTCAGGGGTGGAGGCAAAGCTTCATCAAAAGGTGGAGGCAAGCAGTGGGTCACAGAGGGGACCCGGCAATGCCGCAGGAGGACAGTGGTTTGGCTAGAAAAGGCAACACATCGCCTCCTCCTCCTTCACAGCACTGGGGCTTGTCTCCAGCTCTCTGCATCCAAAACACTGAGCTAAGAGCTGGTGACTGTGCCAGGAACAGAAGTGGCACCACTATTGAACCTGGGATCCACGCTGGGATCAGACTGCCTTCATGACATTTCTCTTCGCTATTCCTCTGCCGTAATGGAATATAGTATACTGAAAAAGTCAACCTTCAGCAATTCAGTCTCCAGGGAAAAGCACAGCTGTCATTATTTACAGAAAATGAAAAATCAAATAGTTAATGTTGTGAGGACAAAACTGCATGAATGAAGGATTGTTGAGTACCAATTATCTGTAAAGAACAGTGCACATAGAAGATAATTAAAGCAGTTAAAAATCATCAATATACTCTGATAAAAAGAAAAAATAGTTAATCATAATACAATACATTCCTTGATGACCTTGAAATGATGGTAACTTTTTTGTAATTCTTGACACAAAGCCAGACCCATGAGGGTCAGAGCTACAGACAAAGCATGGGAATAATTATATATTTGTAAAAGGCAATTTGCCTAGTGTCACCATAGCTATACGGGAGGATGTCCACCTATCTTGCTGATAATGCTCTGAAATCAACAGCATACAAAAATAGTAGTTACTGATGGAAAGATGGCAGAAGAACAACCAACAAAGAAATAAAGGCCAGTCAGTTTTGGAGGCCTGTCCAAAAACTGCTACCCTGTCTGTAATGAAGCCTGCCAAAACCTTTTAAGAGAAGCCAGCCACCGAGCAATCTGGGAGACAAACATCCCTGCAAACATTTGAGAGCTCTGCAAAGGCAGCAAAGCAAGCCCCAGAGCATGACATGCCTGGTTATAAAGCAGCATGAAAGCCACGCACAGATTGTGTGCAAGCACACCCTGAGCCTCCCGCCCCGTCCAGCTGTGTGGGTACAACTGCCCTCTCCAGTCACCTCTATTCACAACCCAACTAAGCAAGACGTAGGCAGAATCAGATCCCACGGGCTCTTGTGTTACATCTCTATGGTCTCGACTCCCTCTTCACAAGCTTCACATACACAGGACCTAGCAGAAGGACCTATCATGCTTGCCCACAGCTTGCTCTGTGTGCCTTGGATGCAGCATTGTCTGGAGCCATTTTCTAAATGTCTTTCCTTAATCCTCAGTATAATTTTCTCTAAAAACAGTGCGACACACAACACAGGAAGTGAATGCATCCAACATTGTTTACATAAGATATTTTTAGAAACAGGAATAGAGCAAATCTGTTGAGTTCCAAATCTTCTATTTTAAAGAAATACATGTATAAATGGAAGATGACTCTGCAATTGCATGTATACAGCTGACTGCTCATGGGAGCTCTGTGTGTTCCCACTATAGCCTACATAAGTAGAAAGAAACATCCCCTTATATGCTATGATTTCAGTAATATTCTGCCTCCACCTTTCATTCTGCAGTATCAGAATGAGACACAAAGCTGCAATAGTTCTAAACCCATGCACTGGAAAAATAAAAGGTGTTTTCAGAATTAACATGCACACAGAATCCCCTATGTACTCATGGGGCTTCCTCTAAACAACTAGAAAATAATATTGCTTCATAAATTAAAAAGTGATTGAACCAAGGAAGTTGCATGAATAAAAATGCAGCAGCTTCACACTGACAACTCAAGATAAATGAACCAAAGCAATCTGGAGGAAGTTACCACTTCGGGTCACTTTTTGCTGGTGTGAACCAGGGATGTTACGTTGGTATAATCCCAAGATGTTAGAGGTAAATTACTTCAAAACCAAAAAATGTCACGCTTCACTTTCTCCTAGGTATCAGCATAAATATTTTGCAGTATTGTGTAGTATGAAAAAAGCATCATCTTAGGTTTTTGCGCTTGCACATGAAGATTGAGGAAGAGGACATTTCCCGACCTCTATTCCTGCTATTTATCATTCCACATTCTAAAATCCCCTGGATGTCATTCCACGTGTTCTCCAAAAGTCCTATGGATTCCATTGTAGCGAAACACTTTCACACCATATCTACTCAGTGTTAAAGAAACATTTATTATTTTGATAACAGTAATGCTAACTGCAGAAAACAACATGTCTGTGCAACTGCATTGTTTTGGCACAACAGGGGAAATGCGTTTCCTGCTCTTTTTTTCAAATACATTATTGTTTCTAGATACACCGTTCCACACTGCCTACATGACACATAAGCGTTGCAGTGGGCGATGAAAATTACCTGTACTTTGTACTGTGAACACTCTGCTTCAGATCTTTAGCAGATACTAGTTATATGCTTATTAATAACATATTAACTATGCTATAATAGAAGTGTTAAAAATATAATAATAGGATTTAAAGTGCTCGGATTTAGTTTAGCAGGGTTTACTCCAGCTTCTTTGGAGCAGGAAAAAAATACATGTTTAGCTTTAGGCACCAAACAGAATATATGCTAATGAGAGGGAAGGGAAGGGGAAGAACACTGAAAACAGCCTAGTTTGTTCCTAAACATACTCTCCAGGCAAGCTGTACATTCCCACTACATTGTTCACAGTCTCACAATTAACCGAGGTAACTAGTTAACCTCAATAACAATCACCTCTCACTAGTTACTGGAGGTAGTTGGCAGCCTGAAGACAATTCAATGGAAATGTTTAATGAAAAATACCTGGTGAAAGGGCTGCCCACATACAGTATGGATCTCAGGAGAAGTGACCCTGGGCATATGCGGCACTGGGACACATGAACGTGAAGAGTTCTGAGGAATCAGTTTACAAATGACATTCAAGCCTCCATAACAGACTCGTGAACCATTCGTCTTACTCCCATTTGCTTATGGCATGGCCCAGTGACGTGTCAATGAAAAGACTCATTGGTTTCAGGAGGCTTTGGGAGAAAGCCTTAAGGCTTTACACTGTTGGGTGCTTAGTAGTTTGAACTTAAACTGGCAGCAGGTATCTTTTGGGATTCATTTCAATCTAGAAGTTTCATCCCTTTGGGTCTGTGAAATATTTCCATTGCACATATTGAGTTTCCGAGCAACTGCTTACCATCAGCCGCTTCGTCTCCTCCAAAGTTCTGTCTGTAGAACAGCATTAACTCTATGTTGTAGCACTTATAGATGGTCACGAGCAAAATAAGCAGAAGAAGGATGGCTCCCAGTCCTCCAGCAAGCTCTATTTTGTAGATCAAATCTAAAATTAGCAAGGAAAGACAAAAAGGTTATAATCTTTCCGAGCCTTATTTGCTCTAATCCACTATACAATTCCACATAAAATTGTGCAGCTTCCAATTATAACCACTGTAACATTAAGGATAACTAAGTTTTTGTTCATTACCTATTACTTAATTTTAACCATTTACTCCATCTACTGCCTATCTAAAATCACCATCCAGAATGCATTTGAGGCTATAATCATAACTCTTCTGCAAGGGAATTATGTAGTGATTTTACACAGGGGATTAATCAACTTTTAATGAGCTTGTGGAGTTGTAAACTTCTGTATTCGCAGAGCGCATCAAATGCTGTACGCAGCATGTGAGAACAGATATACACTACTGGTCTTTAGCCCAAAATGTTGTCTGAACACAATATTGCTTATAACACCACTTGGCATATTACTTAGCCATAAAAGACAAAAGATGACAATTTGACAACAGCTACCTCTAACAACCTATATTAGTTTAGATAAGACATCATGAAGATATTTGCTGCTGTGATATATAACATGAAGAAGTAAGAACTGTAATACAGACAAGACAAAGTTTTTGTGATCGTTCTGCTTGTAGAACTTAGGTCAGAAAAAAATACTGGTATGTCATTTGTGTCATTTTCAAGATAAAAAGCAAATTAGTTGTGTATCTTTTGGGGTTACTCTTGCTTTGCCATGCCTTGTATTTCAATAATTAACATCAGATGTCAAGCTATTCCCAGTTTACAGTATCTCTGATGTCTGTCTGTTAAAAAGTCATGAACTAATAGATGGAAAAAGTCTATTATAATAGCTATTTAATCTCTTTGAGAATACAGAGAATTCATGGGACTTTATTAGACTGCATGATAGTTAGCATATGCTCTGGGGATAAATCTGGTCAAATGGAGAACAGAGTTGGTTAAAATAAATTTTCAGGGAAAAAATGTATTTTTGTTGCATGAAATCTTTTTTTTTTTTTTTTTGCTAGGAAAGTGAGATGATGGCAAAGCTGCCAGCTTGGAAGGATTGAAAATGCTGAGCCTTGACTACCTGCTGCCTACAAGGGAGCACAGACTTGCATCCACTTGCTGGGGGAATGCCAGGGTATTGAGCAAAACCACAAATCCAGCTCAACAGGTAGAATCAACCTGCTTTTGCATGTCCTGTACTTGTCCTACTGCCCCATAAATTCTCCTAGAGCCTAGACATAAAGAGGCAGAAAGTCAAGGCTTTTGGGCTCTGTATTTCCATTCCAGGGTGAAGGCAATGGAAAAAAACACATAAGTTTCAGTTTTCTTGCCTACTCCAGCTCTTAGTCTCTGCCTCTGATTAATACCTTACTCCTCAAGCGGTCCTCACTGAGGTCAATAGAGAAGGCAGCACACCAAACATTAGGAAAGGAGTTGAATCTGGGCTTTATGCTATAATAGTGCCTGAAAATTAGTAAATAATAATATTCTGATAGTTTCTAATGTAAAATAATGTAGAAGGACTTAGCCACAATATATCACAGAGGATTATGGTCTTTAAAATACTAGAAGTCTCATAAACACGCAATAAATGAGAGAGAAATATATTACAGAAGGTTCCTCATCACTTAGTACAACAGCAGTACAAGAAACCCCCCCAAATTAGTTTCCTGCATGTCTTGAATGAGGGCAAACTCCTTGAAATAAATGGTGAGCAAATATCATTATAATATTTGCTTTTGTCTAAATTCACTGCTTCGTTCCACTTAAAGCATGGCTTGATTTTATTCTGCAGTTCCTGACAAGTTAGTCACGTTCCAGGACCATTATATTACAGACTATGTAGACTTCAATCACTAAAATACTGGACTGTTATCAAATTCATTTGAAGGGAGTCCTGAACTATTTCCACAACTAAGGGACAAGTGGGTGTATATTGTGTTTCCATGTAATTTGAGCACCAAACATGCTAGGACAGCACGGAGGAAAAAAGAAAAGCAAACCCAGTATTGTCCAGAACTTATTTTTGAACTACTCGAAAGCAAATAATAATGTGGCCTTAAATTAAACCAGTAAAGAAGAATGTGATAGTAGACAGTGGTATTCAGGTCTCAGGAGCATGCTTGATTCTGTCTTTGCATTGGTAGCTTTGGGTGCTTGAAACTGAATTCGGTTCTTTTTCAGTTAAAAAAAAAGAATCCTAAATGACATGTGCTCTGGGGCTATCAGCACACTGGTGCTGTACCGACAGCACTCCTGTATTCTCTGATAGCATTTGTGAGGACCGTACGACTAATATACCAAAAGACTTCCACATATTTTACCTTAAATATTTCAGTAGTTCCTTTTTCTTCCTTAAAGCAAAGTATGTACTTAGAAGTAACCACCTGATGTCAAAACAAGAACTAATTCTAGAAACTCTCACACTAAAGCTGTAACTTGGATTTGTGGTTTATTCCTGTTTTTTCATCCAAGCCTTCCTAGTTTAGCAGGACTCATGACTTACGCTTGCTTGTGTAGACCTGATGTGCTGCAATCACACCTTTGAACAGAGGGCAGACATAACCTACAGCACTGTGACAACCTGGAGGCAAAACGGAGCTACAAACACCTCTTGCCGAACAGGGATAACGTAGCCCTTAGCAGGTAAGACTTTGCGGGGAGGGGGATTTCTCTGTCTGAGAGATCTGTGCTTCCTCTTCACCTTAGCCGAGTGCTCCAGCATCTGGAAAGCTGCAGCACATTACAATAGGAATCCACGATCCTTTCTTTGACATGCACAAAGGATGCCAGTCAATGGCTTTCTACCAGTCCTGCCCTAAATCTTGTCACAGGTCAGTAAATACAGTAGTGGTTCCTGGCTCATGAGTACAGTCAAATCCAAGCTGGAGAAAGCTAGGATGAGAAGTAATTATATCAAGTTGCAGAAAGGAAAAGTTTGGTCAAGTATTTGTAAGAACTTAATAAATAACAAACAGGACAATGGGACAGGCAGTCAAAGGACACAGTGAAAATACTGTGGTTATTTTAAATGACACTTTAATAGCTTGAAAATCAACTACTGAGAATGCCTGAGGGGAATATAAGCTTTCTACAGCCACAGTGCAGAGAGAAATGAAATAGTAGCTGAGAAGTGATCCTTTCCACCTCCAAATTCTGTATTCAGCAGTGCTTCTTCCATAATTTCAGCAGAGCTCTGAAATATCTACATTTTCTTGTTATAAATAAACCTAGCTTGTTATTCTAATATGTGCAACACAGCTGAACATTTAACAGTGTCAAGATAGATATACTATCAGTTGTATATTTATGAGGTTCAGTAGATGGAAAGGTAGAACTTTGCACTAAAGAGGCTAATCCTTCATCACGATGACCAGATTCCTTAATTAAGTTGTCAGTTTAGTCCTGTCAGTTTAGATGTTGAATATACATGGTTCAACAAGGCCAAGTGCCGGGTCCTGCACTTGGGTCACAACAACCCCATGCAGCGCTACAGGATTGGGGCAGAGTGGCTCGAAAGCTGCCCGGCACAAAAGGGCCTGGGGGTGTTGGTGGACAGCCAGTTGAATATGAGCCAGCAGTGTGCCCAGGTGGTCAAGAAGGTCAACGGCATCCTGGCCTGTATCAGGAATAGTGTGGTGAGCAGGACTAGGGAAGTGATCATCCCCCTGTACTTGGCACTGGTGAGGCCCCACCTCGAGTACTGTGTTCAGTTTTGGGCCGCTCACTACAAGAAGGACACTGAGGTGTTGGAGCGTGTCCAGAGAAGGGCTACAAAGCTGGTGGAGGGTCTGGAGGACAAGTCTTATGAGGAACGACTGAGGGAACTGGGGTTGTTTAGCCTGGAGAAGAGGAGGCTGAGGGGAGACCTTATCACCCTCTACAACTACCTGAGAGGGGGTTGTAGAGAGGTGGGGGCTGACCTCTTCTCCCTGGTGACAAGTGATAGGACTAGAGGCAATGGATTCAAGTTATGCCAGGGGAGGTTTAGATTGGATATTAGGAAACATTTTTTCACGTTTTGTCAGGGTAGGTTGATGGTTGGACTTGATGATCTTAAAGGTCCCTTCCAACCTTAGCAATTCTATGATTCTATGATTCATGTGTGTTCCACAACACAACTGCGGGCCCTTGTTTCTTAGAGTGGTTTGCTCCTTCCGCATTTTGTTCTATCTTTTTCACTTAGTGTAAAATATAACCTGTGTTATGCCCTTCTTTCTGGGAGGACATAAAACTCTCACATATAGAGGAAACTGTGTAAGTAGGACTTAATTCAATGGATTTTGGCAGGATTGCCTACTGTACTTTCACATATATAACCTGTAGGTCACATAAAAGAACAGCAAAGAAAGAGGACATTGACTGAAAAGTTTCCTTTCCCTTGTAGCCCTTTTTTGTCCCAATACCACCCCTCCCCCTCATCTTTCATTTTATACAGATCGTAGCCATGAAATACAGCACTCAGCATTCAGCGTGCCTTTAGGTGAACCCATGACTATGGATGCTTTCCAGAACTTCAGTGCCCCATCTAGCGAGGCTTTGCCTGGTCTTTCTGTTCTTCCACCTGGCTCTTAGTTCATTTGGCCCATGGTGACATTTACCCTAGGCTCAGAGGTCAATCTGCAGCATGCTCAGGTACTAATAGTATATTTAAACCTCCTCCAAATGGTGACACTTTTGTGGGATTTTGCTGTGAGTGTGACAACGGAGAGCACTGGCTTTTTTAACTGACACAAATGCTGCAATTCCCAATCTGCTGAGAAGCACGTCCTTTGCCTTAGTGGTCTGAAAGCACATGAAGGACTGGAACAGCACTTGCAGGTGTGCCTTGTGGAATTGTTTCTTCTTCTCTTTTGGTAAATTAATATACAGCTAAGATGAATGGCAGAGATCTGGACAATGAACTCTTCAGTCAATCTCCTGTGCTGATGGCTCTGTGGTTTCACATTACGTCTTTATCCCGAGCTCGTAACCTTCCTTTGCTTCCCCAACAGTTACTGTCTTATAGCTTTTGTACCACCTGATACAGTGTGTCTTAGAGAGATCACCATCAATGGTGTAATGTAAAATTTAAATGTCACCCTACTCATGAATAGGAGAGGCGATTGAACAAACAACATAAGAACTGTAATGAGATACTGTTACACTCTTTACGATAATGACTTCTACAAACAGCAGAGCATAGTAGCAGCTTTTAATTTGGAACATTCAAACCCAAATGATTTCCTTTCTGCTACAGATAACTTGTCAGTAGTGGTATTCCCAATTCCAGTACAGTACCAAGCACAGCAACCACGACAGGGTAATTCTCCGTTGATTTGTAGCTCCCATTGCAATGTTTTCATTCCTAATGCATTTAGAAATCAAAATTCACGGCAATTGTTTAAAGCTTTCAATTTAAACAGCAAAGCCAGGAAGTGGAGAAATACAAGAACATCTGACCTCACTGCTGAGGTACCTATTCTAAGAAATGCACACTTTTAAGTCCATCACACAATTACCTCTGGTCTAATCAGTCAACTCTGGGTCAAATTCATAGGTTGTTTAGACCAAAATACTTCCACTGATTATATTGGTGCTTTATGGGTGACTGTATTCCAGGCAAGTGCATCACCTGCAAGGCTGGTTCACTAGAGACTGAAGAATAATTAATGATTATTTTTTTTTCCACAAATGGTAAACTGAAGCTGTAATACAAACACAGTTCAGCTCCAAGTAGGAGTCCAGCCTGGCTCAGAGAGGTCAGCAGGACCTTCGCTACTGAGGCAGGTGAGAGTACAAATAATTAAATAAAGAGAATTACCTTTCTTGCGCAGAAGAACACTGGCATGTTTCCGTCCATTTCTGTTTTCCACATGACACGTATAGTTAGCCAGGTCTGCTTCCTCTACAGCATCAAAGATCAATGTCAACTCAACTTCTTTTTCACCAAGATGTTCCCTGAGGAGTCTGAAAGGAAGGATACAGTCTTCGTTTAACTGAATTAATATGGGTGAAAGATTCCCAAAAGAAGCATGATTTCTCAGCACAAGATACACAGTGTTTCCACCCTCCTTTGCTCCTGGAAAAGGCCTTAGAAGGACACTCAAGTTGCCTGAAAGAGAGCTCACAGAGGCATCTTTCATAACAGCCAAAAGCCTTTTTCTCGCACCATGTCTGTAGCAAGGAGCTAAATCAAGTGCAGGAAGAGTTGCTATGAGTGCAACAGTTGCATGTGGCTTGTTTACCTGGGCTCCAGAATTAAATGCTAAAACCAATGTTTCTTTTAAAAGTAGCAAAATACTCATTTTCCAGAGAAGGAAGTATGCACTACTAAGCCATCGCTGAGCAAATTATAAGCAGTATTTTAAAGGCTGGGTATTGTGATCCATTTTAATGCAGTCTCAAAAACCAACGAAAGGAGCTCTGCTACTCTGTGGAATTTTCCTCTGGTTTTTTGGTTTTGGTTTTGTTTTTTTTTTTGGGGGGGTGGGGGGGGTAGATCCTTACTTTAACAGGGAACAGTGTCAAGAACAAGAGCTCTCTGCTCCTTTGAGAGGACTGAGGAGACATGCAAAATCCCCACAAAGGGAATAGAAAGTTCTAGCAGAATTTCAGGCCAGAGGTACAGTCTTTTCATGTCATTGTTCCATTTAATGTGAACATTAAAAAGAATGCAAAGTAAATGCAAGTGTTTTCTGATGCTGACATTAAGTCTAAAAATACAATGCTCTATTCTCTCAAAAGGCTTCTTATCAGTTGCTCAAGAAAAAGTTACCAGTCCTTTGAACAAGGAAATGTAATGTCAAGCAAAATCTACCAGGTTCGTTTGATCCTGTTAGAGTACTGCTGCATAACGTGTATGGGGGTAAACACAAAATGTGTGATGCCCTCACAGTGGCCTGTGAACTCATCATCACATGTAGTACTTCAGTGAGTCTTTTCTCTGAAAAGATAGAGTATGACACTAAAAGGTAGAGGTATAAGTAAGAACCATAAAATAAATATTTTCTCTGGAGACTGAAGGGAGGCAATTGGGCAAAAAGTAATTGACCAGAGCACCGTTTGCGCTGGATGGAAACTGCTTGTGGAGAGCCTAAAATTTTTCAGTAACAACAACAAACCTCAAACTTCTCTTATTATAAAACAAAGTTGTTTTGGGGTTTCCAATGCGCACACATATTTTCTTATGTACATAATTTCATATAATAAACATGGAACTCCAAATTTGAAAACAAATCAGAAGCGAAGTATAAGGGCATCGCACCAGACAATGCAAACCTGAGTGCTATAAACCACATCTTTACACAAAGATTTCATACACCATTTAAAGGCTTGTGTGATCCGACAGAACTCAGAATACATACTAGAGCACCCACAATAATTCACCCTCTTTCACTATGGCTGTGTAACTTGCAAAAAAGCAAGTGGAAAAACATTACTTTAAGAACAGGCATGTAAATTGTGTTTGGAAACTTGGATTGCATCTTTTTTGCAAATTCACTCTCATTTATTGTTTATTTTTGCATTTTTTTTTTATTCTGGCCCCGAATCCAAGTGCTGAAAATAATGCAAGAAAGGCTGAATTTGCGTCACATCTGGCCAGAAAAGAAGCTTCCAAAGACAGCCTGATCTGTTTGCAGAATCAAATCATTCTAAACCATTGGGGGTCAGATAAATCAATTCTCATTTACCTATTAATATTCCATATGTATACAAAGTGAAATAATTTATACTCAGGAAAGTCTTTCTTCTCTGTTGGTAAACAATATGCTCCACAAATTTTGGCCTACAAATCATGCCACAAGGACCAAATAAAATCATTAACAGAGATGGTATCTGTGATGCTAATCTGGAGCACTCTGTGAATGTTCAGCTTGCCTTGTGTTTACTATAATCAGCATATTTTACACAGAAAAAAATGAAGACAGATTATAATTAGGATAAAATAAACTATTATTCTGAATCTATTTAAAATAAAATAATCAACCCTTAACCTAAATTTAAATAATTCATGATCAGCTAAAAAGGATCTTTCATAAAAAAGAATATGTATTTGGACTGAGAATTTTTTTTCACTTATTTTCATGCTAATTGCAATCTTTAGGAAGAGAACTCTTTCGAATAGGATCTATCATGAAAATGCTGACAGACACTTAAACATTATGCTGGTAGCAAAGCACAGAAAGCTCTTTGTG